ATAGAAATAATCGAGCGTCAATAAGAAATTTATAGAAAATAAATAGCTGTAACTATTGATCTTGTAATTAGGTGTATTTTTGGTGTCTATAAAGGGAATTTTGCTAAATTGATTTTGTAATTTGGTTTTGCAAAATAATTTTTGTCTTCTTGTGATAGTTTTTTTTTATATTACTTTTTGATTAAAATTGAAAATTACAAATAAATAGTTTTTATAATAAACGAGTAATGTACAAAGCATATAGATTCATATTTATAATTTTTTTTTAAAAAAGTTATGACAGAAAATTATTTATTTTTTCTTTTACCATGGTCGAATCTACTAGTAGATTAGGTGTTCTGCGAATTTGTATAAATCTACGAGTGATAGATATTCTACTAATTGTTCAAGTTCTACATATCGCAGATTGCACATTCCACCATTTTACTTCAGTACTACCAACCGCAAAATACTATTTCTACCAATGCCTATGTTTTCTACGATACGTAGAATACATATTCTACCTCTTTTATCTACCGTTTCTCTATTTTCTGTTCTACCAAAGTTAGTTTAAAATCTAATTAAACGTGATTATCCACTTTCCTTAAACGAAATATAGAGAAAATATTCCCTAATTATATCGGAAAACGTATAATTATAATATAGTTATATTTGTGCAATAAACAACTAATTACTTCAGCTTAGTTGGTGCCTTGGAAACATGAGTTCGAAGCCATCTTGTAGCATTATTTTATATATTTTCTTTTATTTAACCATTTTGTTTAAATAACGGTTCTGACGTTTTTATAAAAAAATGTTTAAAGTAACATTGAAGTTCCTTTATTTAACCATTTTGTTTAGATAAGGGTTTTTACGTTTTTATCCAAAAAAATGATTAAATTAATATCGAAATTTAGGGTATAGAATATCAAAGAAATAGGGTTAAGGTTTTTGAAACAAAAATGATTAAAGTAATATTGAAGTTTAGGGTATAGAGTATCAAAGAAAAAGGGTTTAGGGTTTTTGAAAAAAAATGAAAGATTAAAGTAATATTCGTAAATTGGTATGCTTTTAGTAGCTAAACTGGAGTTAACCGAACAAAACCAATAAATCAAATTTACCTTGATCTGATTTAATAATTCGTCCTTATAAATTAATACACATATTTTACATTGAATAAAACACAGCTAATTTGGTTTTAGTCCATTAATAGTGATCCTCTACATGAGTTCGAAACCTCACCTTCTTCCAAAGCATAATGTCTTCGTGAATTTTCTTCTGAAATCTCTAGAAGACAACAATCCCACGATTATTTTCTCATTTAATCTTAATTTCGTTTTTTATTTTTGATTATTAAGAAAATATTTAAATGTGACATTGTTTACCATATTTTATTTTTATCGTTTTTTCTTTGTGTATTTGCCTTGATTTTTTTTATTATTATTTTCTTTAATGTTAAAAAGGAAAGTGAATAATCTGATTATTTAATCTTAATTTCGTTTTTTCATTTTTATTTATTAAGTAAATATTTTAAAAATTTTTTTACTAATTTTAAAAGATAAATTTGGAATTTAGAAAATGCAAAGGTTATTAGGACAAAGGAACACGAGCATAAAGGTTATAGAGAGTAAATTTAGCAAATTTTTATGTTGGGTAATTAGCTTCAACTGAATAATTAATTAGTGATATAAATTCACGTGCGCAAGTTTGGGCTCAGCTAAAGAATGGGCCCAAAAACAGTGTAGTGGCAGCTTCGTAGTTTTGTAATCACTTTGAGGGCTTTTACGTCATTAATGTATTGGTAAAACGCTTGCTTGCTTCGACGTTTTCGAGCCTCGGAAGTCGGAATCTTGACGACGACGGAGGAGGAGCAGCAACAACAATGGCGGATTGCTATTCGCTGGTAATTTCTCTATCTCTTTCTCTATTCATGTATTGTCGTTACTCTCGAAATCAAAATGGATCTAGGGATTCACGTTTTTCGTCTGAGACAATAATTTGGATTATCTCTGATCGGAATTTGAACACAGTGATCGATGATGATTTATCTCTGATTGCTTTTTCTTCTGATGATGATTTAATGCAATAATAATAATTGAGGGTTGTTGTTACAGATGAACAGAGTTGGATTTCAGTTATTTGGACTTAAATCACTCAGAAACTCAAGATGATGATTTCACATTGAGATAGTTGAATCATGATTTTTTTTTAAAAAGCAATGGTCTTTGTATAGAAAGAAAAAGTCTATGAATCCAAAGGAAGAAGAGACAATTGATATGTACATTGTCTTCGACATCTTATGAATAAGGCGATTACAAACTCGATGCAGCCTTACTGTTTATGTGGCCGTATCGAAAATTCGAGCTTTCTTAAGGGTTCTCTGAGGATGAAGCTTACTTTGACATCATTGTAGAGATGGTAACATAACAAGGTTACAAGTTGGTGGAAACTTGTGTCTTCTTTTGCAATCTTCCATACATTCTAAAACTCCAAGGACCGGTCTTTGCTGCGTAGTCATGAAATCAAGGAAATGGTGGAGAAAAACAAAGGATAAGAAGAAGACAAAGAAGGTACAAGTTGCAGCCAAGCAACCTCCCAAACTTTGGTTTATATAGCTTGCTTTGTTTCGACAATCTTGAAGATTATTTGTGTGTACCAGTTTGCTCTAAGTGCAATGATTTTTCAACGTAGAGAAGCTATTGAACAAATCACCAGCCCGAACATCTGCTGATCTAATCTCCCATCCAAAAACATTGTTGGGTTTCGGGTTTTTTGGACTCAGGAACGTTCCATTTATGTTGATATCATACAATGCGCAAAAACTTATCGTAGTCTAGCATCACTTGGAACCTTAAAAAGTCACAAATCTAAAGCTCGATATGAAACTCTCTCCACGATCGGTAACACCTACCATGGGTGGTAAGGCTGCTGCGATATCGGGGGACAGCAAGTAGAAGTAGTGAGCATCGGATTATTGCCGTAAACTTGACTTCCTCCAGCGATTTGATTGAGATTTGATTGCCTATTCATCAAATGGTCTTTTAGTATTATAGCTCTCAGCTTATACACCTGCAACACAAATCAAATTTTGTAGTGAGAGGTCTCTTTGACATGATAAAAACTTAACGGACTGAAAAAGAAAAGATAATTGTAAATAAGAACTCAATATGGTACACACAATGTACAGACCTCATTGTGTAGGAATTGATTCTCTCTTGAAACGATGTCGTAATCTTGCCTTAGCAAGTCGTAAGACTCCTCGAGTTGCTTCACCTTCCACCGAGCACGGCGGTTCTGGAACCAAACCGCTGTCTGTCACGGCTGCAGACCAAGCTCCTTTGATAACTTGAGCTTCCTGCTTGAATCTAATTTGATATCTTCTTGAAAACTTTGTTCAAGTGAAGCTAATTGTTCATTCGTTAGTCTTTGCTTCTTCTTTATCATCTCATTGTTGTTACTCGGACATTGGTACGCATCGATGATGTTTTCTGATTCCGGTATAGATATAACCGGTCCGGTTTGTGTAGCGGCATACGAATTTCCTGCTAAAAACAAAGTAAATGACAAACGCTCAACAATAATAATAAGAAAAAGAAGAATTTCCACATTGATTTCTATAACTTTTGAAGAAAAGGGACGTTTCACTTATACTTTTAGAACATCTGAGCACGGATTTCCAAGAATAAATAAAGAAAATTAAAAATAAGAACATATATAATCTATTCCACTTCTCATTAGAAAAGTGAGATAATCCCAAACGTTCTCTCAGAAAAGTCTAAATAAATTGTGCGTATTTTTAGGAATTCATATTTTACATGAGTTTCACGAAGAAGATATACTTAAAAGTTATAAAAAAAAAATTAAATAACTAAAAGAATTTTGGGCCAAAATAGTTTCCATTACCTACGAAAAGTCAGATATTCTTATTAAAAAACATTTAGTCCAAGGTTTCCAAGTTGTATATACTCCAAGGTTTTGGAATGGGTTTCCAAAATTTTCTGATTCTTTTCATAATTTCACAAGAACTTGGAAACACTTGAATCAAGTGGGGAAAAAGGTTCATGGATTAGTTTTTTGCTATAGGTTCATGGTTTTTTGCGACAAAAACAAAATTCATTGATTTATCTAACGTAAAACTGAACCAGCATTTACATATCTTTATGTTCTTATAATATAAACCTACGTTTTGGTCAATATCGATTACAAACCTCACCCCATTAAAACAAAGCCACAAAGAGATCGAGACAATATAATGGATATAATTAAATAAAGAAACAAAAGCACATATATGAATAATCTTGGTATATGTATGTGTGCATTGCATATACCTGCATTATATAGATCATAGTTGAAGCTTTGGAGCGAGTTAGACGGCGGTTGCATAAAAGCACCTCTCATGTTTTCAATGTTGCTCCTCGTTGACCATTCCATTTCCTCGTCATCATACATCATCTCCCTAACATTTACATAAATTGATATTGTTGTTTGAATATAACGCTCAAAATTGGAATCTAGTTTATATTCGTTTACACTATGTATTAAGGGGCTTGTTGTAGTTGGAATTTACGATTATATTACATGCACTTTTTATAAATCTAGTGTAAACTAAAAGCGGGTGCGTTGCGTTTGTGCGATAATTTTGATTGTTTGATAGCAATTGTGAGCTGAGAATTAATCATACTATTTCAGGTCTAGCTAGGTGTTTCAAGACCGAGGGATTCAATCGTCTCTTGAAAACGGATGCAATACCGCTTACATGGATATTGCCAAACATGCATGCAATATTTAAGAAGTCATAAGAAATCATTAACTATTTAGCTATCTTTAGGAATATACATAAGCGTTTTTTGGTTTCTACAGAAAAGAAAATTGAATAAAACATTTTAACTCACTTTGATACTTAAAGTCATCATCGTGCTTGTATTATATACCTTCCTATTAGTAAAAGTTAAACACAAAAGTAGATACGTCGTTAACTCTCTTAACCTAAAAAAAAACTTAAACGATGATGTATCACAATGTTTGTTTACGGGTTAGTAAAAAATAAACGTTTGAATGCACCGCCGTTAAAGGCTTTTTGATGTATCTCTATTACATATTAGGGTTTCAACAATATGGGATTCCAAAATTATTGTTTGAGAGGGTTTCAAAAAATTTAACCCTAGACATCACATGATGTAGAACTATTGTTTTATACGTTA